ATTATGGAGATTATGAAGAATTCGATGGAAGGTAAGCCAGAAATCTGGGTAATATTTGGATTTTTTTTTTTTTTTTTTTTTTTTTTTTTAGAAAAAATAATTTTAATAATCATCAAAAAATAGGCAGTCATTAATGGCGTCTGTTGCGAGGGTAGTAACGTTACCAAGTTCGTTGAAATGGAGCCGTACCGATTCAACAGCAGTCATCGCGGTAATTATATTGCTTAAACCGCTATATTATTAAGTGTTTAGTTATATACTCTTTAATTAATATACTCTTCTAATTTAGCATCGTTTCAAATTCTCCAACATTATCAGCCATCTCTAGCGAAGAGTAAGAGTATTCTAAGAAAACGTTAAATATATGCGAGAGTTTTCCATGTATAATTTTAATAATTTTTTTTAAAAAAAAAAACAGGCCAGTGAATAGTTAGTTCATCGATGAACATTCATCCGTTTTTGAGAACATCAACCAAGGTAAACATAATCTCAAGTAATGTAATAAATTTAAAAATGTTTATGCTAACATATTCCACTGAATGCCCCTATAACATCAATTACGGCAAAGAATGTTGTCACACATGAAAAGGATAGATTAGCTTCGGCTTTATTTAGTGGAGTTGAAATAAACGAGGGAATGAATTCTTCAATTTATGGACATTCCGTGTTAGTAGAAGCGGTAATCTCCCCAAACATCATCCCCGGAAAAGCATGGTATGTACGACCATTTTCGGATAATTGATAAAATAATAATTACATTGTTGTTCTCGTTAGGGAGCTTCATAACATCATGCAAAGACTGAATCTATATTCTTAGAAACCTATAGTAATAATAGGGGACCTCTGCTGATGAATAGTAAGTATATTTCTTAGCAGTGTATTTATTTATATATATATATATTTTTAAAATTCTTTTTTTAGAGAAGATATTACGACATTTAAGCCCTATCCAAATGACCATAAAAGATTATGAAAAGTTTTGGACAAATTTGTCTAATGAAAGATAAGAAGAAGTGGTAGGAGAATTTGTTATAAACAATATGGAAATTATAAAGCAAAGATTGGAGGATGGGATAAATGAAAAGATTAATGTTAATACAAATGGAATTGGAAGCAGAAGGGGAAGTTGGAAAGTTATTGAAGTTATTGACAGAGAAGCTATTGCGGCACCTCAGCATAATCATCCTTGTCAGATCAGTAGTTTCACATTATCTGAGCGGAAATATAGTGTTATTGCATTTTAAAATCCAACCTTTACATTGTGTATTTACCATTAGAAGTAACATTGGAGGAATTATAGATGATGTTACGGAGGAGATGAAATCATATTTTATGTGGCAAGAATAATTTAGTAGAGATCTGGTTCAAACATTAAAATTTTTTCATTAAAAGTTGGAGTTTTATGTAATATAACAGAATAAAATTAATTCGTATTAATCAATTATAGAGTTTATACAACAACAAATTTACTAAATAAATTTTATTCAAATGTAAAATAAACCTTAACTACATACAACTTTAAACCAATGTAAAATAAACCTTAACTACATTCTTAAATTGAAGTATTAGAAAAATTTTATACATTGTATTGTTGGTGGTGATGCTGGTTGCGGAGGTAACATTGGACATTTTAATATTCTAATAATAAACATTGTCTATTCCCTCAAGTATGTGAAACAAGTTCGAAACCATTTTACGCATTATCAACAACATAGGCAACGTCAATCACTTTAGCTCCAGCTTTCAACTTTTCGTGTAGTGGTGCAGTGTAGTTGCTTTTCCACGTAAATCTGAGCACATATTCATTAGGCAATGAATATTTGTTATTTTCATAATCTGGTGCGATTAAATAACAGCCTCCCTTTCAATAAGGGAGGCTTTTTGCAAATAATTATGCAAATCTACTTCTTCATACTTCTTAAAGTATCCAAAAACCGGATAATAAAGTATACACTTACTGTGTATCTTTTTAGCGTTGTCGGTAAATGGATAAGGTACATGTATGTTTTTATACATCGAAGGTACAATTTATTTTTGAAAAGAATTTTGAGAGTTTTTGTGTGAAATTTTTTGAGAGATTTTGTGAAATTTTTTTTTTATTTTTTTTTTTTTTTTATGGTCCTATATATTCAAGTCAGTGTGATGATTGACCAATTAATTATTTATCGGTATTGATCTGACATAATAATTATTATTATTACCCGCTTGATATTTTACCAGATTAAATATCGGAGTTGAATTTTCCGTGAAAATATCAACATGACGCAATTACCGTGACCGTAAAATATTTAATAACAAGCTTGATATAGAAAAAAGCATTATTACAAGCATTTATGATTATAAATAAAAATTATTTAAAGTAAAAATTAACATTTTGAAAGTGACAATTATTGAAAGGCATATTAATTGGTAAATCTTGTGATTCAAGATTTATAATTTGTAACGGTTTCTTATTGTAATCTTGAATTTTGAATAAAATTTCCTTTATAATGTCGGTATTTTTGGATGTTTTAGGTTGTAAACATGGATTATTTAAAAGTTCACGAGCAGTATTAAATTTTACGGTCATCTTTGTTTGATATTAGCATTTTCAGAAACTAATTATATAAATAGCTAAAAATAAAGATAATAATCTATCTATCACTTGGTAAAACAATTTTTTATTTTATTTGTCTTGGAAATTTACTGATTTAATAAAATCAATTATTATTTATTTATGTTAGCATTTTGATTTCTTTATTTTAAAATACTTTCTAATATTTAAACAAACATAATTATTTTCAATATTTTGTACCTAGTACTAAATTATAAATATGTATAGAATGACAAATACAAAGTTTTGCATTCTTTCTACTCCTATATCAATTAGTTAAAACTTAAGATTAGAGAAATTAATTTTATGAGAAAGAATGCAAAAAATCATAGATCTATATAAGAGATATATCAAGTTTAAAAAAATTAGCTTTTTAAATAAATATTATAAAAAAGGATTAGTTTAATAATATAGATAAAAAAAAAATAGTATAATAAAATTTTAATTATAATATATACATAGTTTATGATCTTAAAAAATTCATTTTCACTTTTTTTTAAAAAAAAATTTAGTTATAAGAGTTGATAATTAAAAAAAAATTGAGGATTTAAATAAGTAATTTATAAAAATAAATATGAAAAATAAACTATTATCAGTTATTTTATTCTTATAAAAAAAAAAAGAATTATATTACTTTGTAAGTTCTATTGTAGGAGCAGAAACTATAGTTAGTAATTACAAAAAGCATAAATTTATTAAACAAATAATTGAATATTTAAAATTTCAAGTTATAGCATTATTAAATAGTAATACTGTTTTTTTACTGAAAATAAGCATATTCTAAAAATAAGCATATTTGTAAATTTTATTATAAAAATTTAACCAAACATATTATAAATGCGAAATAATATTTACAAAAAGAAATAAGCTATTATAACTTGTTAAAAGTATTATCATTAAAACTTTTGTCATTAGTTTCACTTGTTACCAATTCCTTAATCTCTAATTCTATTATATCGATTTCTAATTCTATTTCTTCATTGACTTCTGATCTATCAGTCACAATTTCTGATTCCTTTCTATCTACATCAAAATTTACCGATAAATCTGTTATACAATACTTCTTAAAAGATTCAATAATAATTTTATCAGAAATTTTCTCTCATAATCGCTTAACCTAACTACATAAATTGCTTATTTTAACACGTTAAAAGTTTCTATTAGCAGTATTTCTAGCATCACTATTTACTATTTACAGATGCACTCTTTTCAGAGATTATCCTTAAATGGCTTATTGATTGTAATATCGAGAGGCTAACAGATACTTATTAATCTGCTAGAAATTATTGCTAAATAAACATTAGTTTTGCAAAACTTATTTTTAACTGATCCTTTCAGGTGATCTTTGAATAAGTCGTATACTAGTATTATTAGATCTTTAAATCTATTATCATTAAAGTAATCAATTTAATTCTTTATCAAATTAACATCTATCCACTCTTTTGAAACTAAATTATTACATTAGAAGGAATTTTTTCTTTTTCATCATATACCAATCTCTTTTCTTAAATATGCAAATAGAAGGTAATTTAGTCATATTTTATTAAGTAGATTTAAATTTAGTAAGATTAAAAACTATAAAATTTGCAGAAACTACTAAAATATATAAATAAAGACAAGATTTCAAAAACTTACCAGCAGCGCATATAAGAATAACTGTAATCAATTTTTTCATTTTCAGTTTTACGAATATGTATTATTTTTTCATCTCTTTGATTAACTATAAAATTACCTGTCATATCAAACCACACAGGCTTTTCGTCTATATTATAAATATCACATATTTCAAAAGACTTTTCTATCTTAAGTTAGGTGATAAATCTATTAAAACTATCTAGCAATTCTTTAGTATATTTTAGGAATTTCTGAGATATTTTTGTGCATTAATACAATACTAACCTATGCCTTTTTAAAAATTTACGTAAACAGCTAAGTGATGCTTTAAAATTATTTATTGAATTATAAATAAATGTTATACTTGATTCACTTAAATTTCCTTCATTTTATTTTGTATCATTAAGTAATTTACAGATAATTCTTACTTCTGTTGTCTAATAATCTAATCATATAAAAGTTTTTCAGCTTTAGAATATAAAGCCTCTTGACTAAAATCAATTTTCATTTTTTTGCTATTTGTCTTAGTTATTCAGGTCTTGCTTACTCTAATCCAACATTTAACTATATTAATATTAAAATTAAAGTAATTTACTGCTACACGTCTATCATATTATTCTACATAATTAATAACTTTCTTTTTTTCTTAATAAAATATGAAGTTTGTCTAACCTTTCTAATAACTCTTTTACGTTTTTGTAGCATTTTTTAACAGGTTTAAAACAGGTTTTACATTTTATTAACTGAGATAATATGATGATCATCAGATAAAATTTAACACAGCTTTATATTAATCACATAAACTATCTGAAAATAAGCATCTCTATAATAAAAAAATATTCTTATTTTCAGTAAAATATGATAAATTATAAATAATTTATTAGTTTTTCTTTTATTGTCCCTTAAACTATAATATTTCACTAGTAAACTTATCTACTTATTTACTATAAATTTTCTTTTAATTTACTTTTATGAAAAATTAAAATTTTTAAAAAATATTTAAATTAAAAATTTTATCTTTAATCTTTAATAACCTTATTTATTAATATTACTTTTAGTAATATTAATTATAATAGAATATTATAATTTTTATAATTTATTAATAATAAAATGATTCAATTAGTTTATAAATATATTGTTAAAGTTAAAATTTGCCTTAGAAAAATGATTTACAAAAGTCATTAGATTTAATTTCATGTAGATCATATTAAAGAAAATCTTAATTGATATATTATTTGATTTGTAAGATTTGCAAAATTTATCTATTTCTTCTATTTCTTTTGTATTTTCTGTATAGCCTATTTATTTTATTTATTCTGTTCTGCCTGTAATTCTTTTAATGTCTATAATTTATTTTATTTCTTTTTATTATTTTTATAATTTATATTTTT